TACCATTTAATTCTCTTTTGAATCCCACCATATACAATTCCACCCTGAACATATTTCTCTGAGCTCTCTCTCTCTGTGTGAGATGTGCTGCATGCACCCTTGCCGTCTGACTTCAGCAATGCTGTCCAAACCTGAAAGAGTGTCCCAGCGCGATTTCCATTCTGTCTCACCACCTCAGATAGTTTCCTATTGCCTTTGCTTCCCTGGCTGCCTGGGAAACTCACATTGCTAGTGAGCTTGCCAAGTACCACGGACAGATCACAGCATGAGTGGAGATCCTGACCCACAATTCTAATCAAGAAAAGAATAAATTAGATACATTGGGAATTTGGAATTCAAACGTCCAAATTATACCGCTAAACTATCATGGAAGGGAGACTGTAATTTTAAATACTTATCCTATTAGTGTTATTAGAATTGGAGGAACTGTAGCTCTTTTTGACTTGCAAATCAATCCCTTCAAACACCAAACTGTTAATTTGGCTGTGAACTTGTTTAAACGATCCTGCCCTTTCTACTTGTATAGCACTCATACCATTTCCTGTTCCTTATAACATCTTACTTTTACTAAACGGGGGTTCTTACTTGCCTAATTAAAAGCTGTTATCACCAGTTTTTCTCAGCATTTGGCATATGGCCTAAAAAGATTCCTTTTTTCCTTAAACTGTATTGTGAACACGAAGGCAAATTAGAGAAATGGGAATCGCTTTCCTTCGAAATACTAGATAAAAGATGTATTTTTTATTGAGACACTAAAGAAATGTCTTTTTTTATTGGATAAATCAAGCTTTGTGTAAAGCTAATTCTAAGAAATGTGTTAAAATTTTTCAGCATAAGAACTTGGACAAGAGGCTGTTCAACAAAGGAGAACAATGTGTAACTGTCCATTTACCCACTAACTCCCCCGTTGGGCATGGGGTAAGCCACTTCTAGGTACAGTTGCTCATTTGTTAATTGAAAAATTTTATTAATGGAATTTGAGGACACGATTACATTTATGCCCGTAACTATTGCTTAATAAAAAACCACCCAAAACTTAGTAACTTTGAGCATTTATTTATCCCATTCTATATTTTGTCAACTTAGTCTGGGATCTGCTCAGTGGTTCTGCCCTACAGGACATGCAGGCTGACCTCATTCACTGGAGCTTCGGCTGAGATGGATCCAACAGCTGGCAAAGCCAGGCCTCTTCCCGCTGGTGGCTCTCTACCTAGGGTCTCATCAAGTAGGCTCCTTCAGGCTTGTTCACAAGTGTTGAGAAAGAACACCAGAATAGAGGCTACAATCCCTCAGGAGGCTGAAAAAATCACTCAGCATCAGTTCTGCCACATTCTATTGGTCAAAACAAGTCCCAGATTCAAGCCAAATGTAAGGGCTGCAAAGCATTTATGGATTCTTTTGGGGGGAGGGAGGTTACCAGGAATTGAACTCAGGGGCACTCAACCACTGAGCCACATCCCCAGCCCTGTTTTGTGTTTTATTAGAGACAGGTTCTCACTGAGTTGCCTAGCACCTCGATAAATTGCTGAGGCTGGCTTTGAACTTGCGATCTCTGCCTCCAGAGCCACTGGGATTACAGGCGTGCGCCATTGTGTCCAGCGATTTTAAAAAATTTTTTAGTTGTCAATGGACCTTTATTTTATTTATTTGTATGCAGTGCTGAGAATCAAACCCAGTGCTTCACATATGCTACGTAAATGCTCTACCACTGAGCCACAACCCCAGCCCAAATTTGTGGATTTTTTAATCCACCATGAAATTTCAGTGCGTTGATGACTTTGGGGATAATACAGTCTAAGATTGCAATTTTTTTGTTTGTTGGTTTTGGTGATACTGGGGATTAAACCCAGGATCTATCCATCCCTGCTACATTCCCAGACCTTTTTATTTTTTGATACAGGGTCTTGCTAGATTGTGGAGGCTGGCCTCAAACTTGGGATCCTCAGCCTTGGCCTCCCAAGTAGCTGGGATTACACGCGTGTGCCAACATGCCAACAAGCGCCAACCAGAATAGAGGCTACAAACTATTCTTATGACCTATATAAAAAGAATGCAAGGTATACCTATCAAATAAGTTTAATGATATTCTAAATTTACCTCATATAGCTGCTGTATGTTGTGGACTTATTTCATCATAAATCCTGTTGGTATATTTTGTGTTTAACTATGTGTGTATGTTACTTTGGTAGCTTTCAATTAAAAAAAAAAAAAAAAAGCAGCTCTCAGATTTATCCTAGGCTATCTCTATCCCCTGCCCTCCCTGGCAAGGCAAGCAGTGCTTCTACTAGCAGAAAGGAAGCCAGCTACCTTGAATTCTCTGAGGTGGGGAGGGTAACAATACCCAAATAAAGAAACTTTCTATCTCAAAGCAGTATCCTGTGCTCTCCAAGAAGGAAAGGGAGTTAGGATAGAATTCAAGAAGAGGGCTGAGGCCTTGTGGCTGAAAGTAATTTCAGAACCCTTGTCACACTGGCAATCTACAGTTGTTTGGGGTTTTTGTTTGGTGGTACTAGGATTTGACCAAGGGGCACTCTACCACTAAGCTGTATCCCCAGCTCTTTATGCTGAGACAGATTCTTGCTAAATTGTCCAGAATGGCCTCAAACCCTCCTGCCTTATGACTACCTGGGATCACAAAGTGCATGCCACCACGCCAACAACCAGTACTTCTCATTTCTGTCCCTTCCCCAAGCCCTCTCATCCTGCAGGGCACAGTGGGCTCAGAGGGAGAAGCCAGGAGCCGCATGAGTCACTGAGGAGGTAGGTCTCTGTCCCTAACCCAGGCTTCAACTCAGGGTTTTACTAGAAGCATTAATTCTGGGATGTTTAGACTCGATCAATTATTGAAAATCTAAAAGCAACAATTTGAACAATCCTCGCCAGTTAGTGTGAAATCTCATCAAAATGAACATTTTTGTGGTAGTAAGTTGCAAAGAGAAAGAAAGTTTTAAAAGCTTTATGAATTCATATCATTAGACATTACAGATTAACACATTCAATGAAAGTGACCAAATATTCTGGCAGGATTTAAAATGCAAGGAGATTGGGGCATAACAGCCTCAGATTTCCTAGGCTCTTAACTGCAAAGTACATTTCACACATACAAGAGCACAGCCTAGGGCTGGTGATATAGCTCAGTTGGTAGAGTGCTTGCCCTGCATGCACAAGGCCCTGGGTTCCACCCTCAGCAACAGCAACACACCGAAAAAAAAAAGGGAGCGAGCAAGTGGGCGGAGCCTAAGGGACCTCCAGAATGATCCCATCCTCTGGAGTTCACCAACTTGGGAAACCACAGCCCTGAGATAGAGGTCTACACCCTCTGATCTCATCTGAATGGGCTGGGTTGAGCTGGGCTGCCTGCTAGCAAGCCATCTGCTGACCAGAGATGGAACTCCGGCCAAAATCAGCTCAGAATTCGTGTTGTGAGCACACATACTGCACTTGAGAAACACCAAAAAGATGTCCAATGAAGAGAAAATGTCTGTTACTATTATTGCCATCAGTGTAATGACTGCTGTGACTGCATAGAGACAGGATGTGGGAGGACAACACAAAGAGCAGCTTACATCTAAAAGGTTTTGTTTTTGGGAACCAGGGATTGATCTAAGGGGCATTTGACCACTGAGCCACATCTCTAGCCCCTTTTTGCATTTTATTTAGAGACAGGGTCTCACTGAGTTGCTAAGTGTCTCACTTTTGCTGAGGCTGGCTTTGAACCCTCCATCCTCCTGCCTCAAACTCCCGAGCTGCTGGGATTACAGGTGTGTGCCACCATGCCCAGCAATTTTTATAGTTTTATTTTTCTGCAGTATTGGAGATTGAACCCAAGGGTCCTCTACCACTAAGCTACATCCCCAGCACTTTTTAATTAATTAATTTATTTATTTAATTTTGAGATAGGATCTTGCTAAATTACCCAGGCTAACCTCAAACTTTTAATCTTCCTGCCTCAGCCTCCTGAGTAGCTAGGTTTATAGGCAGGTACCACTGTGCCTGGCCATTTTTTTAAAAGTTTACAAATTAAGTGAAATTCAATTCCAACCAAGATGACTAATCATTTGGGATGTGTTGCTCCCCTCATCCCCTTCTACCCTGTCCTGCTGCTTAGAGAAGGTAGTCCATTGTGTTCTCACCACTCCAGTGGATTCCAGGAAAGTGGGAGATAAGGACCTCCAACAATAAGTGGACCAAACAGGACAATTTGAGAGGCTTATAATACAGGAGAATTACAGGGCCCAACAGCATTTTCAAACAAATCCAAACCTTAGAACTGTGACACATTCTTACAACCTTAAAGAGCTAGCCACATAACATAGTGGCTTAAAGTTCCAGTTTATTCTATATTAGATCTGCATAAATTGAATCAGGGGACTTTTAACCCAGTTCACTTTTATCTCAAGGAAGTGAAATTAATCTGGCTTGCACTGATAAACTCATGTCTTTAGTAAACATAAACTGGTAGTTAGATGTTATGATAAAGGGACCAAGGTAAGACAAACTCCTTGGTAACTCATCATTGTCGTTGCCAAGAAACATTAAGCATACCAAATATATACATCTGTGCAAAACAACTTTGACATTGTAGGACCTGGGTACTATTGGCAAACTTCTAACTTTAAAAACACAAGCACAACTGAGTATAGTGGTGCATACCTGTAATCCCAGAAGCTCAGGAGTGTGAAGTAGGAGGATCACTTGTTTGAGGGCAGCCTCCATAACTTAGTGAGGTCCTAAGCTACTTAGGGAGACCATGTCTCAAATAAGAGCCAGAGATGTGGCTGAATGGTAAAGTGCCCTTGGGTTCAAGGCTCAATCCCCATTACAAAAAAGAATGCAAGTAGAGGAGGACATGGTGGTACAGACTTTTGATATCAATTTTGTGGGAGGCTGAAGCAGGAGGATCACAAGTTTGAGGCTAGCCTCAGCAACTTTAAAATTCCTTGTCTCAGAAAATAAAAAAGGCTGGGGATGTAGTTCAGCAGTAAAGAGAACCCTTGGGTTCAATCCCCAGTTCTACCAAGACAAGAAACACAAGCATAAACAAACTTAGTCTTGAGGCTAAAAACAAATTACTTCTGGGTTGTCAGTTTTGGTAATGAGAATGCCTCTATAATAATAATAGACATTAAAGTTATTGGGCTGGGGTTGCAACTCAGTGTTGGCCTCACATGAATTGAGACCCTGAGTTCAATCTCATTAACTGCCAAGAGAAGTCACAAATAAATGAAACAATTAGGAAATTATTCCTCAAGATCACCTCTTCAGTTGACAGAATCTTGGCCACTGATAAATTTCTATTTTCACTTATCCCATAAGACCTCCCATCAAGTTTCCATAAATTAAAAAAATTTATAGTGCTGTCATGACAAACAGAAGTGTGATTTACATGGGTTTCAATATATTGTTATAAATGGGGCCCTTCAGAGTATTAACAGACTGTAAGTTACCCCAATCAGGGAACTACAAAGGGCACCCACGAACAATCAGTGGCTAAATTAGGTAAAAGCACATGACCATTGCTGATCATAATACATGAATCCAGCTAACAATCTCAAGTCTACACCAACATTCAGTAGTAAAATAAGTGGGGGAAAGGGAACATTCTTGACAGAATGGCAGCTAATATACAGGGTATTTTAACAATAATAGAATTGATTCAAATAAAAATCAACAGATGTTACAAACACTGGTTTTGAAGAATAAGATAGTTTTAATGTGTCTTTCCATAGAATGTTGATTATATAGAAAAACAGAGCAGAGAAATCTGGCAGAAAACATCTTAATTAAATGAAAAAAGTTAACATAATCAGGTTGGCTAGAAATATAGCTGTGTGGTGGAACACACACACTAAGGAGGCCCTGGTTCCATCTAAAAGTAAGACAGCAAGGTGACTCACACCTGTAGTCCCAGTTGACTCTGAAGGATGAGGCAAAATGATCACCAAGTATGAGGCCAGCCTCAGCAATTTAGCCAGGCCCTGTCTCAAAATAACAATAAACAGGTCTAGACATAGCTCAGTGGTAGAGAGCACTCCTGGGTTCAATCCTCAGTATAAACAAATAAATAAATATGTAATTCTAGTGTAGCAGGTAAAGCATGAATGTATAGTCCATGTAAAAACAGGGTAAGGATCTGAGGACACAGCAAAGGACCAGAGGAAGACTCTGGTAACAACTTTTGTATATTAAACATAAATTAATGACTTAAAAAATATTTTAAAAAATAACATAAGATTACCAAATCAGACTATCAATAGCATTTACATATTTAAAATAAACTTGCCACATATCCCAGTCAGGTATAAACTTCTATTTCCCTTGTCATAGATTCTACTATTCCAATAAAAATTAATGCTTTAGAAATTCATTGTGGGACTAGGGATGTGGCTCAGTGGGCAACACTTGCCTAGCTAGCATGCACAAGGCTCTGGGTTCAATCCCCAGCATTGGGAGGGAAAAAAAGGCAGTTCATGGTGCTGTTAACTGTACATATCTGTAATTCCAGCAACTTTAGAGGCTGGGAAATGATGATTCCAAGTCCCAGGCCAGCCTGCTAAATTTAGACCCTGTCTCAAAATTTAAATATTTTCTTTTTTGCTATTAAGGACTCATGGGCGAGGGTGGGGTGCGACAGTGAGTAACTTAGACAGTGAGTAACTTACCAATCCAAATACCAAGTATCTCTTTGCTCATGATTCAGGACTCTCAAGACTACTCACAGCATCTAGACAAAATACCATCACAATGCCTTGTTGCTTTGCATAGCCAGGGTTTCCTCAACTCACTCTCCCCTCTCTGAACTGCACAAACAAAAACGCCTAATGCCTTAACCTATAGCTTGGACTGTTTCTTTCCACTTCAGGGTAAGCGAGTCTAAGAAGATGATGTATCACCAACCCTGGGGTTTCATTTTCTTCCTTTTTTAAAAAATATTTTTAGTTGTAGATGGACACAATACCTTTATTTTTTGTAGTGCTGAGGATCAAACACAACACCTCACTTGTTCTAGGCAAGGCTTTACCACTGAAGTTATGACCCCAGCCCCTTCATTTTCTTTTATACATGAAAATGTACTAATCCCAGGCCTGCCACTAAAGAAATATGAACATTTAAACTGTATCCTTACCTGAAGTAGGAAGTGATTACTATGTAAAACTAGTGAATTTTTTTTTGGTTTCTTCCCTACCTCCACTTCCCAAAATACAGCACATCTGATTACAGGTGTTGGACTGCTACCCACAGCACTGTTACTCCACACAATAAAGATTGCATGACCTTTCTACCTACAATTTTATCAGTTATATTAAGTTCAATTTCCTTGACTCTTATACCAATAATAAACAAAGGCATCATGCTTTTTAAAACTTTATTTCAACATAACTATGCTTACAGAAATACACTCACATTGGTTAATAGAATGCAATTTAAGTTTAACTTATCCTACACAATTTCAACCAAAAACTTGGTACATGGTTTAAGATTTTAAAAAGAATTTGCAATCTGGCCTATTTTTATCTATTACAAATGTATATAAAAGATCCGCCATCAAATGCTGCTAAAGAAAGCAG